AGAAGGGACATACCTTAAGGTAATAAAAGCCATCTATGACAAACCCACAGCCAACATTATCCTGAATGGGGCAAGTTGAAAGCATTCTCCCTGAGGACTGGAACAAGACAAAGATGCCACGTTCACCACTTCACTCAACACAGTGCTGTTCACTACAGCATTGGTCATAAGAGCAAGACTGGAAACAGAACAAATGGATACCCAGAGGGCGGTGCTTAAGTAATTTTGGGAAGAGTCATAGGGTGCAGTACTTTATAGCTCTGAAACAATACAATGGATTTACAGTTGAAATGTGGAATGATAACTAAGGTGCATTGCCCAGTGGCATATGCAGAGGTGCAGAGACTTTGTATAAACATGATCACGCATCAGCATGCATGCCAGGCGCATGTTTCTATTTGCACGTAGATTGTAGGGATGATATGTGAACAAAAATGTTGACTTGCTGTTTGCAAGTTCAGAGTGGAAGGGAAACTTCCTTGCTAACCTTTTATGATATTTAGAGTTATTTCTAACTGTGAATATGTAATACATTTAGAAATCTTAGCTAATAGGAAAAGCCTCTGTTCCTGGCCTCCTGCTGGCACACGTCAGGTGGACATGGGGCTGTCATGCTAATGTGTGCAAACTCAGAAAACTCCAAGAATGGGAGTCTGCGTTTTTCATCAAATAACTGTTAACAGAAACAGTATGATAATTATTGCTCATTGATACACTATGCATATTCTACTAGATGATAATAAATTTCTGACATTTGAACTATACTTACACATGGACATTGAAATGTATGGATGAAATATTGTGGCTGATAAAGGCAATGGTTTTACTGGCATTTTAAAAACTGATCGTCATTCCTCATGGCATGGGTCCATGTGACATTAAGTAGCTTGTTATGTTTGGGAAAGGCAGTGATGACCACAAGAATGACTTCAACTATTAAAGTACCATGGAGATTTCAACAATGTTTGAATATTTACATATTTCATTGTGCTCCCAGGTTTTTTCTCACCCTAATAGCTGTCACCCATATCATGCGGGCAGATACCTCCGAATGCACCCCTCTTCCGTTATATCCAGCCAATTGCTGGTTACCTTGGGCCTACAACGCGGGGAGGGCAGGGGCTGCTTGCCACCTCCTCATCTACAGTAAGAGTCAATGAGCAGTTAAGTAGACACTGAAAACCATTTATCCTGCTGGAGTGAGAAATAAATGGTTTCTTTCCATAGGGTGATAAAATGCATCTTTTCCAAACTATTTACATTACTCAAGGTCCATCTCAATTCCAGATGTGGTTAGCCTGAATTCCTGATGCTCACCAAGGTGTGTAAGTAATGTTGTCCATGGCCCAGTGCAGAGGAACACAGGTGTTGCCGTCAGACTGCCAGGGTCTGATCCCGCCTCCGTCACTCACCCCGGGAGCTCCCTTTAAGCTAGGAGTCAACAGCGAGGATGGAAACATGAGTGCTTTTTAAAGTCCTAAAAGTTCAGAGGATGACCGTGAATTTCTCCTGCACCCCTGGGCACACGCCAGGAGAACAGTGTCTCCAGGTTCAAGTAAGTGCCTGTGAGGGAGTTGTGTCCCTCAGATTCTGTTCGCCACAGGTGCCTCCTGATGCAACCCCAAACCTCTTCTGCACAATCCCAAGCAGTGCTGACCAGTCCAACCCAAAGGCTGTGATGTTTGGCAGAGGCAGAGGCAGAAAAGGCCAGGTGTTCTGGGAAAGATCACCTTCAAATCACACAGCACCCTCCCAGCCCACAGAGACAGTTCTTACATTATGGCAAGAAACCTGGAAAACACCAAATCCAATTTGACACATATTTCCTTTTTCTTTTTGATTTCATGCCCCCTCCCTCAACCTCCCAAGCAGCATGGATACCCCGAAGGCCCTGGGAACTCTCTCCCATTGGATCTTACCTGGAAAGTAGTTACCTACCTGCAAAATCCTCGTCGTCAGATACGCTCTCCACAATCAAATCTTTAGAAACACAAACACCAGGTTAAGTCATTAGAGAGAGGCCCACCCACTCCTCGCACCCCAGCTGAAGCCCCGGTGCTTCACACAGGATCCCCTGGTGTTTCCTCTGGCTCACAGACATCCCTCCAGCCTCTCTAGACATTGTTTTATACTTGCAAAATCATCTACTCTCACCAGATCCCAAATCCTCCTTCCCAAAAGGAGCCCAGAATCAGGTTTCTATACCCTACAGACAGCGTTTTTCCCTCAGGAAGTGAGTTATTTCAGGGTAC